GTCGACCAAAGAAGTTGAGTGCATGTGCTCAGCATCATATCCAGAGACTGGCTTTGGGAAATAGACGCATGAGTGCTGCCAGCATTGCTGCAGAGGTTGAAGGGTGGTGGGTCAGCCTGTCAGTGCTCAGACCATATGCCGCACGCTGCAACAAATTGGTCTGCAGGGCTGTCATCCCAAAAGGAAGCCTCTTCTAAAGATGATGCTCAAGAAAACCCACAAACAGTTTGCTGAAGACAAGCAGACTAAGGACGTGGATTAGTGGACCCATGTCCTGTGGTCTGATGAGACCAAGATAAACTTATTTGGTTCAGATGGTGTCAAGCGTGTGTGGCGACAACCAGGTGAGGAGTACAAAGACAAGTGTGTCTTGCCTACAGCTAAGCATGGTGGTGGGAGTGTCATGGTCTGGGGCTGCATGAGTGCTGCTGGCCCTGGGGAGCTACAGTTCACTGAGGGAACCATGAATGCCAACATGTACTGTGACATACTGAAGCAGAGCATGAACCCCTCCCTTCGAAGACTGGGACGCAGGGCAGTATTCCAACATGATAATGACCCCAAACACACCTCCAAGACGACCACTGCCTTGCTAAAGAAGCTGAGGGTAAAGGTGATGGACTGGCCAAGCATGTCTCCAGACGTAAACCCTATCGAGCATTTGTGGGGCATCCTGAAATGGAAGGTGAAGGAGCGCAAGGTTTCTAACATCCACCAGCTCCGTGATGTCGTCATGGAGGAGTGGAAGAGGACTCCAGTGGCAACCTGTGAAGCTCTGGTGAACTCCATGCCCAAGAGGGTTAAGGCAGTGCTGGAAAATAATGGTGGCCACACAAAATATTGACACTTTGGGCCCAATTTGGACAGTTTCACTTAGGGGTGTACTTACTTTTGTTGCCAGCGGTTTAGACATTAATGGCTGTGTGTTGAGTTATTTTGAGGGGACAGCAAATTTACACTGTTATACAAGCTGTATACTCACTACTTTACATTGTAGCAAAGTGTCATTTCTTCAGGGTTGTCACATGAAAAGATGTAATAAAATATTTATGAAATGTGAGGGGTGTACTCACCTCTGTGATATACTGTAGATGTGATTCTAAATAACAGTGAAATGCTAGATATTAATGATGTATACACATGCATAGTGGAGTCCGATTTAATTGATATTTGAGAAGTTTTCTGGAAAAGTAGTACCTACAGCACAGTACCTACAGTAATGCATTACTTAGTATGCAAGTCCCTAGCTCACACAGTACTTTTTCTGGGATATTTCAAGAATGCAGGAGTCTAGTCTTTTAGCCGGGAATCTCTCAACCTCACTGATGCGATTTTACTGGGGGATCTCGCCAATGCCATCTTCCTTCTTAACCCTCCTGCATTTTCTGACACTTCTTCAGACTTTTGCTTTCTTAGCAGGAGGACTCCCTAAAGGGGACCCTGAATAGCTGCACAACACCTTTTGATCAGCAGTAGCACTAGGAACCTTCTGTCTGGAAGCTCCAATGTAAGACAGGAAGTTAAGACATAGGTCTAAGTTGTATTCTCCAAAAGTACTGAAATGAAAAGCAAACTTGGACTGTGTGGGATTATAGCTGTAAGCTACTCCATCTTGCCTGGAAAGTTAGGATATAAGCTTAATGAATGAAAAAAGCAAAGGCCTGGGGAGATTCGATTGTCTCAAGAACTATCCCATCCAGCGCAGTCAGTCTGGCCAGCCCAAGACACAGCGTTGTGAACCAAGCACTCAAATTCCCCAAGGCACCACACAGAGAAGATTACCCATCTCACCATTCAGGGTGTGCTCTGCTCCCAAGACATTCCACTCGGCTGGCAATTTGAGGTGCCGAAACGCCAAAGTCACTTTCTCGTCCAGAAAGTCCACGTCCCCAGCAGGGGGCCGGGAGCGGTCCAGGAACCGTGTGAAGTTCAGAGCTTGCTGGTTGCCAACACAGCTGGCCAGGAACTGCGCTGCGTCGTGGGCTTCATCCTGCACAAACTGCAAGCGGTCCTCAGCCACCACCAGAATGGGCTGGCCTTCCTTCGTGGCACAGAGGGAGACCTTCACCGTCTCACAGCAGGAATGTCCTGTGGAGCAAAAGCAGACGTGGCTGAGGTCCGGGGTTCAGGCTTCCATGCACCCTAATTGTACTGCTATGACCGCATCATGCCCAGGTTAATTACTGCACTGCCACAGCTTCCCTTTTGCACAATTCATTCCATGGACAACTAATATATAGATCAGTTCCATCCCAATGTACATTTTGTATTTGGTGGCGCAGGGCAAGGAAAAGAGATACAGCGGCTATCCCATATTCTTTACTGGAAAAAATCAATGAAAAAAATGGAAAAAATCATTTTTACTGTTTATTTATTAGATTTATATCCCACTAATTTTCTTACAAAGTGGCTTACATTATTCTCTTCCTGCTGCTCTCTCAATCTTATGCCCACAAGAACCACCCTGTGAGGTAGGCTGGGCTGAGAGTCTGTGAATGGCTCAAAGTCACCAAGTTGGCTCCATGGCTGAGCGGGGATTCGAACCCAGATCGCCTGAGTCCCAGTCCTGAACCCAGTCCTACTGCACCACACTGGCTCCCTGTCAACATGCTCAGCATGCATGCAAATTTGATCCAGCTCCTTTAGACCACAGAGTAGCAAAATCAACTAGGAATCTGCCTTGTACCAAGTGAGAACATTGGCTAGTTCATCTGCAATGCTGCTGCTGCTGACCTTGGCTGGCAGCAGTCCTCTGGGCAGGATTTTTTTCCAGCCCTCCTTGGAAATCCCTAGTTGGAAGCTGAGACCTTCTGCATGTCTGCCAGAGCCAGCACCCCAGACACACCCGGCCGTGAAGGATGCAGCCCTTCACGAGAGAAGTCCTTCCCAAGAAGATCCTTCTGCCTGAAAACAGATGGAGTGCCTTGTTTGGACTCCCAGAAAGGGGGCTTTGAACATTCCCGGGGTCAACCAAGTCCTTCAGTCGTGCACCAGCCAAATGTCCCCCTGAACCCAGTACCACGGTGGAGCACCATTTGGCATGCAAGAGGGTTGCAGGCTCAAACCCTGGAAGCACCAATGGAAAAAAACCAGAGAGCTGATGATAGCAAAGATCTTGCTCAGAGCAAGACTAGGCTGCAACAGACGCTGTTGTGATGCAAGGGGCTCTCCTATGCTGTCCAAGAGGCTCCTTGTTGCTACGGCAGTGAGCTTCATCAGCAAGTAGAAAACAGAAGCAACCTGGGTCAGCTGGTTCCCAAATGTCTCTGAGTCCTTTCCAAGTCGCCCCACCACCGTCGCCCCCACATGCTGCACAGGGCTTTGAGAGCCCCTCGGTTACCACAACCTTCTCAAAGTTCCACATGAGGCCAGGGAACAGAAGAGTCTGTCCCCTCCGACCACAGAAGGCAGGGTGGGGGGATGCAACAGCAACAGTGGCAACAACAAATTCTGGATGGTTACTGGGGCTGGCCAAAGTGTGCAGACCCCTATTTTAGAAAAGAAGGGAGGGTCTTTTGATTTGATTTGGTTTGGTTTGGTTTGGTTTGTATCCTTCCTTTTTACGAAAGGGCAGCACTGGAGGCAGCTTCCAGAGCCAATTAAATTTGATTAACACAATACAGTAAATGCAATAAAAGCATAATTAGAGAAAATATTATCAAAATGAGTGCCCAGTGCACTAGACCCACTTACAGGTTAAAGTCCTGCTTGGATAGATCAGGCTTTGCCTGCTAGCAGGAAGACCCCAGAGAAGGAGCAACCTTTTTTTTTTTTTTTTATCCATTTATATCCTGCCTTTTTCCTACAAAGGGTTCAAAGCAGCTTACATCATTCTCCTCCTCCATCTTATCCCCACAACAACCACCCTGTGAGGTAGGTTGGGCTGAGAGTCTGTGACCGGCCCAAAGTCACCCAGCTGGCTCCATGGCCGAGCGGGGACTAGAACCCAGATCGTCTGAGTCCCAGTCCCACGCTCTTAACCACTACACCACACTGGCTCTCCTTGCCTCCCTTGGGAGGGAACGTCATCGCTGAGAGCAGCCATCAGAAGGCTGTTCCTTGGGTCATCACAAAAGGCTCCTCTGAAGGTGGCTGTCCCAAAAGAAGGGCACCCAGGAAGGCACACAGGGGAGATGGAGGTCCTTCAGGAGCCTGATCCCCAACCATATGAGGCTTTATAGGTCATAACCGGCACCTTGAACTCTCCCCAGAAACAAGCAAGTCTCTTGCTATCCATACCTACATCCACCATTTTTAAAACATCCAACGGCACTTCAGGCAAGCCTGCGCTGCTGTTCTGTATCCCAAAAGGATGTAATTAATCACTGACCAGTATTTATTAGAGTGACCCACAACAGAACAATATTAACATGTTAAAGCTAAATATTTTTGTTTCTACCTTTCGAGTGGCTGAAAAGACTGAAGGCAAAACATTTAGTTGAATCTTCTTTGTTTCTTTGTTTTGTTAGTCTAGGTCCACGTTTATGTGTGTGTTTGCACGTATGCATGAATGTCATACCCAATTAAAGTTAATTTTCACAGCCTGATCTTGTACATTTCTGTACTTTGCAGCCCAAGCAAAACAAGAGCTGCACAGAGCCAGGGCATGGGACAGAAAGTTCCCCATAGGAAGAGGTGGGCATTTCACCATTTCAGCCTAGCCATTGTTAAGTGAATCTGGCCCCTTTAATAACCAGGCAGGAAGTTCAAATTCTCTGCAGGGTCTCTTTTGCACTCGCTTTCTCTTTCCTGTGCCCTGTTGCTGCAATGACATCATAGTATCTTGTGCCAAAAAAGCACAGACCATTCGCTAATTCCTGGAAAAGCCGCTCTGTCCATGACCTCAGTCTCTTACTGTGTGAATCAACCTTTACCCTTTTCTTCTTCTTTATTTTTAATTACATAAATGAGCAGGACTCACCCCACCACCTAAAACCAAACTTGAAGTTCACAACTGCTCACCAAACAAGCAGAAGGGAAAATTGCTTTTGCTGCAGTGCAAGAAGGAATTTCACTCACCACCAAAGAGAAACTGAAACTGAGATTTCAGGCTTAAATCATCATAATGAACTTGGAAGTTTTAAATCACTGTGACTTCATGAGCAAGAAAAGTTAGCAGATGGAGTTGCTTGAAGCACTGCCTGTGTATAATTTCAACCACCGTTAAGTGATGGCCATCAGCCTTTTGCTCTCCCATCCCTCCACCAGTACAGGGCAGCTGGGGCACCAACGGGCAAACAGAACCAGGCACCCCTCCCCCCAAAAAAATCAAACTGATGTGAGCAGAAACTAAGCAAGCAGGCCCATCCCATTGGGGGCGGATCCATTCAGTTCATTTTAGTGTGACCCAAACCATTCCAAACCACCATGCAAAGGAAGGTTCTGCTAGCCATATTTTTCCCATTTTGCAATGCAGCTTGCCACTCAGAAATGACACATATGTATTACTTCAGGAAAGCGCATACAAGTATGCCTGTGTTTTTAAGAATAACATAAAAAACTGCATGATGGTGCTGAAAATTGCTTGCAAAACTGCATACTGTGCGAACGCACAATACCAAGACGTTTACACAAGAAGACACATGCCGAAAATGCACAAGGACTTTTAAAAAAATACAGACGGGGAAAGCAAGATGCAATGAACTTCTGTTCTTAGGAGGTGTACAAAATTACGCATGCATAGAGAAGGAGGCATTTTTCTCCTACTCTCATAATAGTAGAACATGGTATCATCCCATGAAGCTGATGGGTCATACTCTATGGAATGGAGAAAGCTGGTGTGTGGGGAGAGGTCCGTAAAATTGGGCATTAGGACCTTATTCTCACAGATAGCAAACCCTGCATCCAATTCCAAGGGAACAAATGATCACCAAAAATTCAACAGGCAAAACCCTGCCTGGTGTACAGGTGCAATTACCTACTGAACGTTTTGGTTTTTCATTCAGCTGCTAAAAACGACATAGGCAGACACAACTCAGACAACAAGAAAGGGAGTGACCTGAACTGGGTCCTGCAGCATCTGGAACTAGCCTATGAAATATACTGGTCCTGCAGCATCTGCATACTAGCATACATATACTATATGCTCCAAGAGTCCTCATCAACCTGGGCTGTCCCACTTCTCCAGTACCCATCCTTACGGTGTCTTTGAAACATTTGCTGAAGATCGCATCATTATTCTTCGAAAAAGCGCTGATGTGGATTGTAAGAGTGGCTTTTCTCAAGGCTCGCGCCCCAGCCTTTGGTCTCTGGGCAGGAGAGAGATGCCTGCGCATCTGTCTTGAGCACCAGGCATGAAAATGAAGAGCCTGCCATCTCAGCATAGTACAGCTGATGGTTCCCATGTGGCGGGAGCATGCATTTCTAGCAAATCCTCCAACCAAAAGGGAAATAAACTACATCCAAAATACACTACACAGGCTACTGCTCTGTAGATGAAAGCAGCCAGCGTGGAAAGAGAAGAGCTCCTGTACATGTGGAATATGTGAAGCAGAACAGGAACAGGGCAGGCTCAGGTGGTGACTAAAGGCATGAGAAGAAAGGGAACATAAATGCACAATGACGACCCTCTTTTCATCTGTAAAATGAGGGGTGGGACAGGTCCAGAATGATGAGGAGCCTGCAGCTCTCAGAGATGGAAACAAGGTGACAAATTGGATTTAAACCAGATCAAACAAGTACCTGACTACAGCAAGGAAGTTTGATGTGCTCCTCAAGGGCAACATGTTCATTCCCTTCCAGGCACTTTGAAGTCCTCCTTCCCTTGCAGCTGACAAAAATTTCAGACAAAATGGCTGCCTTGCCCTCCAGGATGATTTTGACTTTGGCAATTAGTTCAAAAGGAATGAGAGCGATTTCATAATGAGTGTGACAAAACCCTCCGTTGCTCCAAGAGCACCCCCACTAAAAGCTCCATGCTTTGAAATGCCTGCCTTTTCCAGCATCAGCCACAGCATCACTTGCTTTTAGCATTCCACGGCAAAACTTGAGCTCCTGCAAAGGCAGCTTGGTATTATCCAGGTGTAGGAGGAGGAGAGGGAGGCATTCCACAAGGTTATCCTAAAAGTTACATGCACACTATCTACAAG